CACAAGATGAATAACGCATGTCAAGTGCTCACATGGAACCTGGCATGCGGCGAGCGCTCTGTCGATGCAGAGTATCCCTTTCTGAGCCCCCCAGGGGAGCCGCCATAAACCCGAAGACCCAGTTCAGGGAAGAGGCACTTCCAGACCAGCCTGAAGACCCTCCGCGAGGCTGCTGCCATGTGCCAGGGTATGGTATCCATCAGCCTGGAGGGAGGATTTCCCACCACGGACACAAACACGCCACCCATCGCCCGATTCACAGACATGCTTCCCATTTAGATACTCACATTGGAAAGGAGATTCTGCCCCAAGCTGGTCATTGTATATTTTTCTCCCTTCCTGGGAAGGCCCCAGGGGGCAGAAGTGGGCTGAGCAGAGACAGTGGAGACAGGAGCCAGCCAGCTCTCTGTCACCTGTCGCCATACCATTGCCTAACAGTCTTGAGTTTTGGGGTAAATCATTTGTCTTTGGGAGCTCCGGTTCTGCCATGTGCTAAGGGCAGCAGCATCTTTCCCAGAGGCCTGTACCTTGCTCAGCAGATGTGCCTCGTGCTGGCCTGAGCTGGTGACACTGGCTACCATGCCCCCAGCCCAACCCCTGCAGTCACGGTCTACCTTCTCCACTGGCGAATCCCACGTCCACTCTGCATGCAGAACAAAGGCTCAGGGAGCCTTGCTTAGCTCCCCGATGTCTCCTAGCACCTCAACATTCTGCACAGACTTCTAATATGAAACCTGTCACACTATCTTTAAGAATATTTTTAATATGTCTCTGTCTGTCCTACTAGATGGGCAGTGAGAGCTCCATTTCCCTCGGGCAAGCCAGGTGGACTACGGGAGAGCCCTCTGCAGTAGGACAAATAGAAGGTGATACACAGAGATCCACCCACCCCACCCATCCATCCAAGAGAGAGGTAGACGTGTATTTTAAGGAACTGGTTCACAAGGTTATGAAGGTTCAGCAAGTGCAAAGTCCGCAGGAAGGCTGGCAGGCTGGCAATCCAGGGCAGAGTCACAGTCCAAATGCAAAGGTGGTCTGCTGGCCAAATTCCCTCCTCTTCCAGGGAAGTCCTTCTTTTTTCTATTAAGACTTGAGCTGATTGGATGAGGCTTGCCATGTTATGAAGAATAATCCGCTTTACTCAGAGTCTATGATTTAAATAATCATCTCACCCAAAAAAATACATCCACAGAAACATCCAGAATCGTGTTGGACCAAGTATCTGGGCACCATGACCCAGCCACATTGACATAAAATCAGCCAGCACACCCTGTGGGCACTGCAGACGTCAGGGCAAAGCCAGGAATCCGGGTCAGGAGGAGGGGAAGCTGAGCAGGCACTCAGGGCCCCTGCACCCCCCAGAGCTGCCTGATGGGCAGGCTGCTCCAGGAACACCACAGGTGACCCGTGCGCGGCTCCAGCACGGACCACAGAGAGCTGGTGGCGGGACTGAGGGCCCTCACTTGTGCACAGGCACTGCACGTACATAGTGCAGCTGGAGAGGGAGGCCGACCCGGCCAGCAGAGAGGTGATGCGCTCCACGACACACAGCGCCAATTGTCAACACATCACGGCGCCAGGCAACTGCCCTGAGCTCTGGCAGCATCCAGGGCTTCTGCTCAGGGGACCATTTCTACCTGACAGCAAGGTGTCTGCCAGCTGAGAGACCTGCTCCCGGCGTCCTGGATGGATGGAGGTGGATGGTGGCCATGGCTGCACAATGTTGTGAATATACTTCATGCCACTGAATCGGATCCTTAAAAATGGCTAAAATGGCAAATCTTATGTCGTCTTCTATCACAACAAAAAAAGAGAGATGCTCCCCGAGGACAGGTCCGTGCCTTTCCTTGCATTCCCATACTGCAAAACCCCCACCTCGCTCCTTGCCACCCCTCACGCTGCAGTTGGTCAGACTATGAAAGGCCCCGGGCCCTGGCCGAGGTGGTGGCGTGCTTCACAGAGCCAGGTGACAGGCTCGTTGGACCGGTGCCACGGGCCTGCAGCACTGGCAGGCTCACATCTGCACATACTGACCGTTTTCAAGTGCTTGGTGCACGACAACATAACAAGTTCCTGGAGTTTCAGAAACATTTGTTTCCGGTGATTCACCCGGCCCTTCTGAAGGATGCAGTCTGGCCAATGAAAGCTTAGAGTCTTGGCAGAAGGAAGCCACAAGGCTGAGGCAAGAGCTGGTCTCTCCCAGAAACACACCCGGATACCCACTGCTCCTTTAAGATGCCAGCGCAGTCCAGGACGGAGTAACTGGGAGATGAGCCGATCAGCCTACCAACCCTAACCGGTCAGCCCCCCGTCGACTGCTCCAGTGCACAGTGAATAAAGCACAGAAGCTCAGTGGTATATACAACACTCTCAGTAGCTCATGGGTTGTCACGGTCAGTGACCTAGCCTGGCTGGGCATCCTCTCCTGTTGGGTGAAAAGCCCAAGGAGAAGTGTGCCCACAGCCCTTTCCGTCTCTCCGTGCATCACCTCTGCTGCACTCACTAGCCAGGATAAAAAGCACAGCCGAGCTCAGAACAGGACAGAGTGGGCAGACGCTGCTACCAGTGAGGATATATAGTCTATAGTGCACTAAGTGCAGTGGCAATATGTCTTAACTAAAAGTCTGTACCTTAATTTAAAAACACTTTATTTATCATTAAAAAATGCTAACCATCATCTGAGCTTTCAGTGAGTCTGAATCACTAGTCACAGATCATCAAAACAAACAGAATAATGAAAAAGTTTAACATATTGCAAGAATCACCAACACATGACATAGAGACAGGAAGTGAGCAAATGCTACTGGGAAAATGGTGCCGACAGGCTTGCTCGATGACACAGGGTGGCCCCAAACCTTCAATCTGTGAAAAACACAGTATCTGCAAAGCACAACACAGCAAAAGGTGTGCCTGTGATTCACCCCCTGTCTTTACCCCACAGTTGAGGACACAGGGGTGCACACGACCTGGGGCACTGGCTGCAGTCGGAGGGAGCAGCAAGAGCGGGGACAGCTGCCACCAGGGCCAGGGCAGGGGGCGGCAGCCGGGGCCCCGGGGCAGGAAGCGTGTGGTGCTGGGTCTGCCATGAGTCCTGGGGACGTGACGTGTGGAAGCTCTTGGGGGTGGGGCACGCTCTGCCCTGTGTCTCCTGCCCCTCCAGCTCCCCAGGCTGCTGACTTTAACCAGGATTAGGACCTGGAGAACCAAGGACAGGGATGCGACACTAAAAAGACAACTGTTCCGAGCCACACGGCCCCTTCTCTGTGCCTCTTGGTTCTTCATGGGCAGAAGTGTCCCCTCCCTGCTTGGCCACCCACCCCGGGCACCTTCCACTGGGCCAAGGAACAGAGCCGCCAGCTGGGGGCCCTGGGAACGTTCTTGGTCCCCCTGCCAGGGGACAGCCTGCGGCTGACGGGTGCCTGGTGCCCCCGGCACTTCTGCCCGTGGCTGTTTTAGGTGTGGCCCTGGCGGTGGTGGAGAGCTAGCTCCAATCCCAGCTCCTAAACACAAACCCTCGTGCTGCAGCAAAGCCTCCAAGAATCGGAGTTTTAGAAATGAAAGGAAACTTAGAGGCAACAATCTAAACTTTTCATTTTACAAATGGGGATTTTATAGATTTTATAGAAGTGGGGTGGATCCGTACTGAGAATGAGGTCTGTGTCCTTGCCAGGCAATGAACGGGAGTTCTAGCTGCTCAGCAACGTTACGGTTAAGAAGAAGTGGTGGCAGATGCACACGGATCCCCCACACGATACTGGTCAAAAGCTGCACAGGCTGACCTCCCAGAGGGCAGGACCACGTCTCCATGGCCTGCAGCCTGGCGCTGCGCTGTACATAACAAGTCCTCAAGTATTCGTTCAAAGAAGGGCTGACGTGGCTCAGAGGGGCTATATAAAGTGAGCCTGACTCCCCTGCCCCCACAGGAATACCACTGAAAACGGCGCTGCAGAGGTGGCAGGGCCTCGGAATCTATGCAGGGCCAGGGGGCCAGGCCGCATCCCGAGTGGGTTATGCTCTGGGACAGCTCGTCCCCAGCAGCCCCTGAAGCCTGTGCAGGAGCCGACTCAAGCCCTGGTCCGGCTGGATAGCCCGGCCCCAGCCCACCAAGGCTCTGTCAGGCCTGCGGGGCAGAGTGGGAGGGTCCTGCTGAGCAGAGACACTTACCTGCAGCCCATGTACGTTCCCGGCTGGGGCCCTGAGCCCACGTGGTGAGCAGATGCTCGGCTGAACCTTTTCTGGCTCAGTGGGGGCGGAGAGCAGAGCCCTGTGTCTTGGGCCTGGGGCTGCGGCCAGGCTAGGGCAGTGCGCGTGGGTGGGGGGTGGCCACTGGGACTGCAGGGCTGGAACACCCTGAGCAGCATGGCGGGAGAACCAGCCCCCACCAGTAGCCATCACCTAGGGGCCACATGCTGGGCTTAGCCAGGCCCCGTGTACCCTGGCTGCTCCAGGCAGCTCAACATCGGACACTTTTCCTGCAGCAGTGCGAGGCCGCCTCTTCTAAAATATGTGCCTGCGTCTGCCTGCAGCAGAGCCAGGTGAGCAGTGGCAATGCGGGCTCCGAGGGCCACCCTCCCGGTGAAGGCTGATCCAGCCAGTGGGCTGCTGGTGGCCTGGGAGGTGGTGCTCAGGACCGGAAGGCAGGATAGAGACCTGCCGGGTGCAGAGGCGGGTGGGGGGCTTCTGCGACCACCACAAGCACACTCCCGAGGACACGGTAGCCCCCTCTGGTGCCCCCTGCTTTGGGGAAGCCAACTCTGCGAGGGCCCGAACCTTGCTTGATCAGGGGTTACTGCTACTCACCCAGAGGCCGGAACGGGCGGAACATGCATGAGGCAGGGCGACTATGCCAGTACCCAGGGGCCGGTCGGGCAGCAGCCCAGCCCAGCCTTGGAGGGAGCGCCTGGGGCCGGCGCAGGGAGGAGGGAGGGCAGCACTTGTCGGTCCCCACATCAGCTAAGCCCCGGACCCCTTCCCTCAGCCCCCCTGGCCCCCGGGCTCACCTGGACGATGAAGCCGGTGGAGGAACACTGCCTGACCCACAGGCTGAATTTCCGCTTCTTCCTCTTCCGCAGTTCCCGCTCCGTGCACGTGGCGATGAACACGGGGTCCTCGTCAATCAGGGGTTCGTGTAGCACCTGCCAGGAACCAAAATGAAAAGACTCAGAAGGCAGCTTGGGCTCAGAGGCTCCCCCTCGGGCTCGAATCTGGTGTCTGCCTTTGGCCTGCTGTGCAACCTTGGCAAAGGTACTTCCGTCTGTGATCCAGAGTCTCAGCAATAAGAGCATAATATCAATACTTACGTCAGTGGTTTGGGGACAACTAAGTAATAAATTGTATGCAACGCACTTAGCACAGGCCCTGACAAATAGTATTTAGTAACTGGAAATTATTATTTTTGTCATTATTATTACTGCCTAAGGTCCCCATCCAAACTGTCACTTGGTGGAGGACCTCCAGCAGGGGCCCTGATTTCTAGCGGGTCATGCCCACAGGTGGGCACTACTTCTCTGCAAAGGAGACCTTTCTCCTGATGTACAGCCCCAGCCGCTAAAACCTTCCCCTCACTGACTCAACATTTACCAACATTTAGCTCAGCTAAATAAGCCTATTGATCCATCTTGTGCCACTGTGAGAAAGAAAGGAAACCACATACGTTGCTTTAGATATTCAACACAGCTCTCATGCCGGCCCAGACCCTTTTCTTTCTCCCAGGGCTGAGCATTCTCTTTTTAAGTAGTTCCTGAAATGACCCCGTTCCCTCGCTGCCACGACCCAGCCTCTGGCTTTCTTCTAGGGCATTGGGTCCTTTCCAACATGTGCTTCACCAATTTTTTAACTTATTTGGCCTATTCCAACTTCTTGATAACATGGCTGTAGGACTTTCTCAATGACAAGACGATAAAGTAAAAGGAAACAGTATAACACAAATAGGTTCCATGGGGTGGCCCAGGTTTTTTTCTTCAGTCTGGAGATTTTTGGAGTGACTTTTGGGTGAGTTTTAGGAATCTGCCACACTTCCCTCCCCAATCCTATTTTAAACTGAAGTATGAATTGGCATGTATGTCTGAAGTTCACCGAAATGAAGCATGTAAGAAGCGGTATGATCCCAAGAACCCTACACGATGCCCTGGACCAGAAGGCAGCAAACCACGGTGTATTCAGACCCCTGCCTGCAGTAAATAGTTTTATTGGAACCTGCCATACTCACTTATATATTGTCTGCAACAGTAGAACTGACGAGATGACACAGACCATTCAGCCTACCACTTAGCCTTACCTGGTCATTGATAGAAGAAGGGTTGTAACCCATTCTCCATCAGAGCTTTTCAAACTTGAATGGAGAAACTAGTAACCAGGGGGTCTTATGAAAACTAGGATGATGATTCAGCAGGTGTTGGGCAGGGCCCAAGTCTCTGAAATTCCAGAAAGCTCCCAGGTGATGGGAGAACACGGTCTGACGGGGGCAGAACACAAGGCAGTACTTGCCAAGTGTGAGTTGGACAGTAATCCTTCCACTCACCCGCTAATGCCACCTTGAATTCCAGCAAACAAATTAACAGCCTTGCAGCGTTTGGCCTTAGCTGTGCACACTGGCCCCTGGGCTTTCCTGCTGGTGGACGCTGGGGACATTAAGCCCTACCTCCCCTGTCTTGTGCTCATGGAAGGGAGGGCTGGCGAAGCTGCCCAGCGGCGGTGCCTGCCCCAGGCCCTCCTGCCTGGCTCCACACACTCACACTCTGCGTATCTCATGAAACATTCAGAACCCCGTTTGGAGCCAGTCTAGCCAAATGGACAAGCCCCATACATGGTGGGGAAACAGCACAGAGGGAAGGGGAGGTAGGCATAGAGAACCCTTTGGCTGCCTGCCTGCTCCCTGCCCCATCATCCCAGCTAAGGAACAGTGTATTGGGCATCCCCTCCAAGGCCACAGAAAATGAAAATGCCCCTCTTACTCTCATCTGCAGAAAGCAACATACCCTACAACACTTGCACTTAACGTACCATCAATTGCAAACTTATATTTAATCATACGCATCACCAAAGCACAGGGCCAGCAAGTTCACTGGCCCTCAGTTTTGCCTTTTTTCTATCATGTGAGCAGGTCAGTCCTAAACACAGCACAGACCAGCATGCCCGCCAGAGCTCTACAAACTATGCACGCCTAAAAACCACCTCCCTGCCCTCCAGACGGAGGGCTGGTCAGCATTTCCCTATCCCCCAGCTGTATTTCCCGAGCACCCTTCTGTGCTTGACAAACTCATTCTGGGGTGTGGCAGTGGTTAGAGTGGGAGAAAGACAGTGCATCCCTTCATTTACTGCATGATCTCCTCTGGAAATAGTCTTTGAATTAATGTTTCCCCAGTTTTGAGGAAATATAGCATCTCCCCATTTTGCACTTGTGTTGAAACACATGTATGCAGGCACCCAGATGCACCAGGGCTGTCTGGGTCGCATTAGATTCTGGGGGCATTAGGTTTCTGAAGACTCTATAATGTTCTAAACCCGGCCCAGATGGTCACCTTTGCTGGACAGAAGGGCTCCAAGAGACTGGGGGGCAGAGGGCATGCTGTGTGGGTTGAAGGTGTGGTCGGCAGAGGGCAGAGCAGCCCCTGGGACCCTGGAGCACATACACCCCCATGTGCAATGCTCAGATGGGACAAGGACCGGTCCAAGCATCCTCTGCAGGTGGAAGTGGAGACCCTTCAGAGGGACCCTGAGGCCTGGGGCTGGCAGGCGGCACCCTGCACCCCGGTCACACTCACTGCTCGACCCCCTCCTTGAACTGATGCTCCAGGGCTGCCCAGGATTTCCAGAGGAGAAAGCTGGGACACCGGAAACCCTGAGCACTTCCAGCTCCTCGGGGTCAGGGGGCGGAACGAGCTCTCCTCCCATTCCAGGAGGCAGATGGGTCTTTGACAAGACCCCGAACACAGAGCCAAGCCTGACGAGGCCATGCTGGAGAGCCTGTCACGCAAGCCCAGAGGCAGCGAGGCCCCTCCACGTGGAGAGGTTGGCATTCTCAGGGCACACAGGGCCCTTCCGCTCACCTGCAAGGGAGGGGGTGCAGTGACCTGGGGGTCCCCCAACCAGCAAGGCCTAGTATGCCCGCCAAATCATATGCTGCTGCCCAAGGACACAGCTGGCTTGACAGGACCCCAGGTCAGAGGGAGGAAAGAAGATGGAAGGAGAGAGATTCCACCTGACTGTCCGCTGACTGGAAAAGCAGCCCAGGGGACCTCTGCTTCCTGCTCCCGTCTGCTGGGTGGAGGGGACTGGGCACTCTGTCTGCCTCCCCAGACTTGTTCCACCCCTCCTCCCCTGCAGTGTGGCCTGGAGGGGGGCCTCTCCCAGAGCACAGGGGCTGGGAGGGCCCCTGCCGTCTGCCCTCACTGCTCCCGGCACACCCCCTCTCCCCGGCCTGGGGGATCGCAACTTCCCGCTGTAGCTGGCCTGGGCATTTCACCGCCTGGCAACTTGCCTGGACCCTGACCGCACCCGTGTCTATAGTCCCCACCTCTCACTGCTCTTCCAGAGCAGAGCGTTTGTGTCCTGCTGGGATCCTGACCAACGCATAGGGCACTGGGTAGGAAATGGGAGCGGAAAGAAAATGCAACTTCACAAATACAACAGTAGAAATAAAATTAAATACAAATGCAAAAAAACAAAATGTGGGGGGTGAGTAAAAGGGGGAAAATCCCCACCATGACCAGAGAGCCCCTCCCTGAACTGAACTCACCTGAGGCCCCTCTTTCCCGAGTCTTGCCAGCTCGTACCAGGAAGACAAGCGGGCAGAGACAATGCAGTGGAAGCCTGTCTGGGTTCCCTGGCTTGGCCTCCCCACTGCCCATCTGAGCCACACACAGAGGTGGCCGGAGCTGCCTCCCCGGACACGTCCCTGCTGCACAGCTGTGTCTGGCCACTGTCTGCTCAGGATGCTGCTGGGCTCCAGGGCCTATGCCCAGGGCTGGCAAAGGGCGAGCTCACGGCTCTCATCATTTGCTGGTGGGCCCTGCAGTGGGCCTGAGAGCTGCCCCACACTCTGCAGACATACGCACAGGCATGACACTCACCCTGGCTTTTGGTTGTAGGCATCTGATACTGCATTTCCAGGAGACACAAGCACAGGGCCAGCACACAGCAGGCACGCCACAAACGTGACTATAACTGTGGGTAAGGGTCACCTGGTCCAGGTGCCAGGAGGACCCTCAGCAACCTTGTCTTCAGGCTGTTAAATATCAACTCTCCAGAGAGCCATACTGATTCTGGAGAGATACCCGGGCGTAGCAAGCCCGCAGCCTTCTCCAGCAGGCCTTAGAATGTCTGACCCCAAGGATAATCAGAATATTTTTTCCTTGAATCCAGACAACATCTCTCTGACTTGGTTTGTTTTCAACCAAGCAAATATTCAATGAAACAAGAAATGATGTGCTCAGCCCTGTAGTTGGTCCTGCGGGGCCTGGCAGAAGGCACGGCTTGGGGGGCCCAGAGCCCCCAGCTCCTGGGAGGAGGGAAGTGACCCACTGGGAGACAAGACAGAATGGCATGTGGCTGCCCTGTAGGTAGCAGGGGGAGTCCCGGAAACTGGGAGCCAGCACGGGCGTGAGCCCCATGGACACCCGGAGCCCTAACTTGCACGACGGCAGGAGGACGCCCCGAGGCTGTTTTACGGCCCCCACAAACCCGAGACAGGGCAGTATCTTCCCCACGGTTTCCAGCTGTGTAGGGAAGAAGGCAAGACACGCACTCAGGGCAACGGTCTGGAAGGAGACCCTGAAGAGGACGTGGGGTTGATGAAGAAGGCCCTTTAGGCAAAGCACCAGGCAGAAGAGGTGGACCGGCCAGGCTTCAAGTGTGTCTAGAAGCGAAGTGAACGTCTGTCTCCACATCAAACAGGCCAGAAGGAATTGGTCTCACGTGGGCCAAGAACTTACTCAAGTTTTGGTTAGAGAAAGCTCTAGAAGTGAGCCATTTCCTCTGTTTACAGAACAGCAGAGCAATTCTAAGGACAATTCTGAGACTCCATCTCGCCACAGCCAAATGCACCTGCCACAGTTGATGTCAGAAAGCAGGGGCTCAGGGCCTGAGAGGAGACAGAGCTTTCTAGAACCATTTAGGAAGGTCAGCATTAGGGACCACAGCAGTGAGGTCTGGGGCTCTATCAGAGTCACCCAAAGGCCCACACCTCTGCCACCTGTGTCAGGTGGACCCCACCTGGCACATGAGTGACCCCTGATGACCCAAGGGATGGCTTCAATCCCAGGCTCATTCCCTCTGCCACCAGAAGGCATGTAGCCCTTTCGCTGCCAGCCAGTGATCACGTACTCAGAGAATACACCAAGGACACGAGCCCCAGCAAAACACAATTTGTAAAGGAAATGCAATTAAGGATGAGGAGGGAAGTGTAGCTCAGAACAAAATGCCGGGTTCCAACTTCTCTGTGGTCTGAACTGTCACCTGTCACGCCCCCCGGGGTCTAACGTGGTTCAGGCGACAGGCTGGAGGAAGGGCTAACACCTCAGGCCCAGGCAGGCCCAGGAGGCCAGGCTGCAGTTGCGCCAGGCGAGGTGGGGGAGGCAGAGGAGCGGGGGCCCACATGTGGCCTCACCTGGGTCTGGGAAGGCCTGAAGGCAGAGTCGAAGCTGGTCTGCAGGGAGTCAAGGAAGGGCTGGACCTTGTAGAGGCCGTGCGTGGTCTGGCTGGAGCGGAAGGCCACGACGTGGAAGTACTTGAGGATCCTCTCGAAGCGGGCCTGGCTCATGACCAGGGCCAGGCTCCTGTTGCTGTAGAAGCCGCCGCTCCAGATGCTAAGGACCGACTCGCAGTGGGAGATGCTGGTGGAGATCATGTAGCCCAGGAATGCCCTCATCTCAGAGAGGGTCACCTCCGCCCAGGCGCCGTCGCTGCCGAAGCGCTCCTGGAACTTCTTGGCATACATGTTCGTCTGCACCACCATGTCCTTGAGGGCGTTGTCTGGGATGAAGAGCTGCAAGAAGTCCATGGCACTGGCGCTGGGGGGCATCTTTTGGGTCGGACCTAAAACAGGATCATTTGAGGGCTTACTGCTGCAACCCGCAGCCCCGTCCAGCACAAGGACGTGCTTCCCGCGGCCGGGCCTCAGCTCAGAGTGCCCCCCTACAGAAGCTGCCCTGCTCCCTCCACTGTGTCCCCAGGCCCTGCACCTTGGCTCCCTGACCCGGGGCCCTCTCTCTGTTCTGCACACACTGCTTTCTGAGAGATCTTGCGAACTCAGAAATACTGATCCAAAGAGAAAAGGGCATGGGGTGGGGGTGGGAGGACGCAAAGGCGTGGAAATCGTAACACGGGAGCTCGGCCATGGCTCTCTGGTTTGGTTTTCTTGTAAATAAGGTGACTCTGGAAATAAGAATGCTTTCACTTGGGGCCTGAAATAGTCCATCCAGGTGAGACTGCAATTTTAACTACACATCCTCCATGTGGTAACTTTAAATTTATTAGTGAAGGACCCTGGACGGACTCATCTACATAATTTCACCAGTGGAAGAAAAAACTCACAATGCTTGACTAATGCAGGGACAGCCTTTTGAAACACACACACACATACACGTATTTATATCCATAAAAGAGATGGCTTGCAATTCCAGGTAGTGACTTAAGCCAAGCTAACAGCAGGCAGAGATTTGTAGGAGACAAGCTTTGCTTCTATCGCATTCGCCTAGCGATTTCTAATAAAAGCAGTGCACATTCTTCAGTACTTTAACCCCCCACCCCTCCAACATCCTACTCCTGATGTAAGCAGTCTCTGAAACACAAGTTTTCCACAGCAAAATCAAGATAGACAAGTGTAGACAAGATAGCCCAACCTTTAGATTCAGATAGGCAGATTTGGGAGCTGAAACCCTAAATTCATCTCCAGCTAACTGCATACTTAGAAAAGTATCTCCATCTCTCCCATTTGCAGCAGGCACTGTGACATCTGCTCTGCAAGGCTGCTGGGTGGGGTGCACACTGGGAGCGCACCTGGCCTCAGGGAGTGCCTGACCCTCAGAGGGGCCTGAAGCTTGGTGACCTGTACTGGGACGTTGTAGCAGAAAGCCACGGATGGTGGGCCGAGAGCTGCTGAATGTTCTGTCCTCACTTCACAGAAGAAGAAACCAAAGCTCAGAGAGCAAAGTGGCCATGTTGCACTTTCACCTCTTGTAAAGCTGCCAGGTGGTTTTGGAGCCGTGGGCATCAAACTGGGCTTGGAGGAAGAGGCCCTGGTGGGCACGACGAGGCCAGGTAGACAGAAGGACCCCGGTTAGGGAGGTCGGCCTGAGGCCCACACCTGCCCTTAGTGAAAATGACTCTATTTCAGCAAAGTCTGGCAGCTAGTGGTGGGTTAAGGCCGTAAACTATTCAGGGATAGGTCTTAAAAGAGGAGGAAAACCAGCACTTTCACTGATACATCATGCTGAGTAAGCAGAATAAACCTTTCTCTTCTAACAGTTATATTTCAAGTCATTTTGCCTCCGAGGTATTTTGAAATGAATTTCCACAGCAAACTCTGGCCTGGCCAATGGCTCATGAAGAAACTGGGAAGTAGTCGGCTCCCTCTCATCTGTGTAGTTCTGATTTACAAGCATCCTCCACGACCTTTCAGTGCGACTCTTAGTGTCAGGGAAGTGTTGGCACAGGCCAGTCGCTGGGAAGGAATGGAGGGGAGGAGAAGGAAATGCTCCTTAGGAGATTCAATCCCATCGCCAACTTAATGACGTGGCCATTTCATAGATGGCCCCAGGGGGGAGCAACACCCCCAGCCAAAATAAGACTCCCTAATGTTTGAATCACTTATGGGGAGCTTTTCCAGGTGCCAGCCCGCGTGGTCCTCACAATGGCCTTGGGAAACATCATCCCATCCTGTAGGTGAGGAACAGGAGCTGAGAAGTGTGTACGGACACAGCCCAAGGTCACCCCCATCGACGTGCCCTGCGGTGAGCTTCATCCCACCTGGCCCAGAGCCAGCACACGCATGCCATTTGGACAGGAAGGGATGTGGCTTTCCCGCACACAGTGCATGCATGCAACATAGGCCAGGTGCGTGGCCGTTAAACCATACAACCTCCCCCCACCTTCACGGAGGGCAAAGCAGGATCACACTGCAGTGAGAAATGACCAAAGGGGAAGGAGCACCTCAAGGGCAAAAGCCCCTAAGGCAGCACGGAAGCAGGAGTGTGGGGAGGGGGGGACAGGCTCCACCCAGGTCTGTCCGGGTGTCTGGGCTGGGGGAGACGCACTGCTAGGTGATGGCCCCACGCAACCCTTGCCTCCTCTCTTCCCACCGCATCCCCACATCACCATGCCTCTCTCTCAAGGCCCCATGGCNGGGTGTCTGGGCTGGGGGAGACGCACTGCTAGGTGATGGCCCCACGCAACCCTTGCCTCCTCTCTTCCCACCGCATCCCCACGTCACCATGCCTCTCTCTCAAGGCCCCATGGCTGCTGCCCACCATCAGCCCCCAGGGGACCACCCACTCCCTCACACACAGACCCAGGGCGCATGACAGTAATGATCAAATCCCCCCACCCACTCCCACCCCATGCTAGCAAACAGGCCCCTCTTTTCAGCAGGGGAACAAAAGCAGGTGTTCTGTTTAGAAAGGGGGTTGCAAACCAAGGGCAGTTAGCAAGGCCACTGACTGGTGAGCACATGCATGTCACATGGACCCTGGAAGTGGAGAGCAGTGAGACCTGACATCCCCTCCCCCAGAGCTCTCCTCCTACTGTGAGGAGCAGGCCACAAACAGGGACCCAGTGACATGAGGCTCGGGGTGGGGGGGTCTATGCTCACAAGAGGGACCCTGAATGTAGATCTCGGGAAGGCAGGGTCTGGAGCAGACATGAGAGGTGGGTGATGGGGGCCTGGCCCCTCACCTGCGTGACCACACAGGGTGACTCTTAGCTGTCTCACTGGGCAGGTTACAGGTATTCAAGCAATGAGAACATATGCGAAGGCCCCAGCACACAGGGACGGTGCAGGAAGGGAGGAGGGGCACCACAGGGCGCTGGGCCCAGACTCGCTCCGAGCATGGCATGGGGCGGGATCTGTGCTGCATGCAGCGTCGGGGGCGGGGTGGGGGGCGGGATCCTAGGACTGCCCACGAGGTCAGTGAGCCCCGGCAGGTCCTGCCCTGCACCTGAAGGGAGGCCACGGCAGGTTCTGCTCCTGGCGCCCTTCCTCCGCACTACGATCAGCGTCCCTACAGGCGTGTGTGGCACCAGGTTGGACACAGGTGCACTGGCGCTGGAGGTTCCCGGGCCCTGGGGGCAGTGCTTCCACTGGAGGGCAGCCTCATCCACTTACCATTTCCACCTGTCCGAGGACATGACGAGGGCTGGTATCTCAGAGATGTGTCAACTCCAAGACCCTGGGCACCCCACCTTCCTCTCCCCTTCAGCTCTCCCCCAGCCCCCCATTACTTCAGTGGGAAGCCTGCACCTCCGTGGGTCCTTCTCCCCACACCACCATCCCTGCCTACTAGCATGCCCTCCATTTCTACCTCGTATCGTGTCACCAGCCACCCACTGTAGCCCTCTCACCCAGGTGGTCACCTCTGTCCTGGGAGACAAAGCCAACATCCCCCAATTCACAGCATCAAGAGAAATTTTAAAAGAATATTAACCAGATTGCAAAGCCTCCCTGCTTAAATCAAACACACCCACGATTTCCCACTGCACTGAAAGCAAACCATCCCCCACCGAGTGTTCAGGGCCCTGCAGCCCCCTCCGCATTCTGGGCCAGGCAGGCACTTGGGTGCAGACAGATCTGGGTCAGGCCTTGGCCTTGACAAGCCCCCCTCCCCAGGGCATCCATACTGGCCCACGTGCAGGCAGGAAGCTCTTGAGGGTCCCAGTTTCATCAGGTGATGAAGTCCTCCAACCATGCACAGACCCCACTGCTGGTCACAGTCTCAGCCCCCAGTAGGCTCCCTTCCTCGTGTTGATCACATCTGTGGTTCTTATCAGGGGCTTACAGTCATCCTGGTCTGCTGGCGGTCCCACCTGTGCTGCCTCCCCACTGACCCGAGCTGGAGTGTGAGGCCAGAGGCTGAGGCTGCCTTGTCACTGTCTGTCCTCCAAGCCCATGGTGTTCACCCCCACTGACCGAGGGTGTGGAGAGCCTGGCAGGGGAGGACGCACCCCCACTGCCCTCCGGGAGGAGGGGCATCGCGCCAGGCCCCAGGGGAAGGGTCTGCTCTCTGGGATGCCAGCCCCCTCGCTAGTGTCTGGTGAGAGGGTAGGTTGGCCAGGAACACGTGTGAGAGGGAGCCCGGACAGCAGGATGCTGGCGCTGCACACCACCCTCAAGACATGTGTGAGGTCAAGGGGGCCAAGCAGGGACAGCCTGGCACGTCCTGGGATGGGATACAGACCGGGAATTCAGAGCCCTTGGTCACCAGGCAGGACATGTGCAGATGCACCACAGACGGTGAGGCACCCGCTTGGGTGGGTGGGCTCTGCGTCTCGTTCTGTTTGGTTTCCTCCCTCCCTCCCTGAGCTGGTGGAAACCCTTGTAGAGCCCCTCTTGGCCATGCTCCCTCCCTGTTCACAGCTGGGACTGAGTGACCTTGGGCAGGCCACATGACCTCTTTGCACCTCAGCTTCATTATCCATCAAACGGGGGTAAAAACCACTGCAGGGCGTGTGAAGTCGCAGGGCACCACGCAGGCAACGGCCCATCCTGGCGGTCTGCCCTGAGCACCCCCGGGCTGGATGAGGGGCTTGCTGAAGCCCCTGCCTGCGACTTCCACTCCCTCACTTTGTGACCACAGATGCGGGGGGCAGCTCCGCACCCCCAGGTGGCACCGATCCCCACCTTCACCCATCTGGAGAAAAGGGTGACCTTGTACAAGGGCTTTCTAAAGTGCAGCCTTTTAGATGCAGAAGCATTCATATTGAGACAAGAATGGTACTTTGCAAAAACTGGTATTTTAGGGTACAAATTGTCTGCAGTTTTCTGACCCAGATGAGGATCAAATATGAATTTTGAATTAAGGGTTTAAAATAATGGACTAATT